CGACTTCCCCGAGGTGGCCCTGGCGCCGACGTGGCTGGCCCAGACGGGCCCGACAGCGCCTGCGGCCGCCGACCTCGGCGGAGAGCTTGGCGATCGCGGCCTCGGTCAGGCGCAGCCGCTCCCGGAGCGCCGCGTTTTCGTCGCGGAGGGCCTGCCGCCTCCTCCCTCCCGCTGTTGCTCCTCCGCCTACCCCCCGCGCGCCCCCCGCCTGCCCCGCCCGCCTCCCGCCTGCTCCGCCTCCTCCTGCTGATCCTCCCTGCCTCTGCTCCTCCTGGAACTCCCCCTCCTGCTCTTATGTTTCCTCCCCCTCCTCCCCTCCTGCTCATCCCTCTTCCTCCTCCTCTTCTCCTCCTCCTCCATCACGCTCCTCCTCCTCCTCCTCCTCCTCCTCCTCCTCCTCCTCCTCCCTCCTCCTCTCCTCCTCCATCTCCTCCTCAACCTCCTCCTCCTCCTCCTCCTCCTCCTCCTCCTCCTCCTCCTCAGCCTCCTCCTCCTCCTCCTCCTCCTCCTCCTCCTCCTCCTCCTCCTCCGCCCGGGGACCGCGAAGTGGATAGCGTGCGCACCACGCCAAAGAGCAACCGCCGCTCAATCGAATCACGTTGGCACCGAACACGCGGGGAACCGAGCGCCGTCAAACCATATGGGCTGGCAGGACGAGCGAAGCGATTACACGAATCCTCCCTGTCGCACCCCGAGACGAGTCGGCAGGCTGGGCCGAGCATGTCGCTGGAGACCTACCACTTGTGATCCTGAAGCTGCAAATTCCGAACAGCTTCAAGGATGGAGGGCGAGCCGTTCTCCAAATGTGGCTCTCGCCTCAGCGCCGCACAGATTCTCCCCCAAGGCCTGCAGGAGCTTCCCAGGCGGAGGGCGGGTCGTTATCAAAGCGTGGCTCTTGCCTGAGCGCCGCACGCATTCGTCTTAAACGTCTGCAGAGGCTTCATGGATGGAGGGCCGCTCCGACTTAAGATGTGGCTCTCACCCAAGCGCCGCGCACATTCGTCTCCAAAGTTTGCAAGAGCTTCACGGATGGAGAACGGCTCCTGTTCAAAATGTGGTTCTCGCCTTAGCGACGCGCACATTCGTCTTAGCAGTTCACAGCGGTTTCAAGGATTATGGAGGTTGACGTCCCAGAGATTGTGTTTGGGCACGTTTTAAGATTGACAGGGCGCGACAGTCAGTTGATTCTCGGTGTTGACGTCCCAGAAATGGTGTCCTGGTACGATTTAGGATAGTCGGGTCACAGCAGTGACGTTGATTCGCGGCGCTGAAGTCCCACGAATGAGATGCACTGGCACGCTTGAAGATGTTCAGACGCATGTCTTACAACGGGCCTCTTCCCGCAGTGAAAATGAATACATCTAGGGGCCGATGAAAAAGGAGCAAGGAGGATGTGTCGCAACATCGTTAATGGGTCTTGGGGTTGCACTGGTGCTCTTCCTCCTCTTCCTCCTCTTCCTCCCTCTCATGTTCCTCCTCCTCGTCCTTTTCCGTATCCTGTTTCTCTTATTCCTCCTCGTCCTCCTTGTCTTTTTCATTATCCTCCTTCTCCTCCTCCTCCTACTCCTCTTCTAATTCCTCTTCTGTTGCATCCTCCTCCTTCTCCTCCGCCTCCTTCCCCTCTTCGTCCCCACCCTCCTAATCCTCGTCATGCTCATCAGCACCATCATCATCATCATCATCACCATCATCATCATCATCATCATCATCATCATCAGCATCATCATCATCATCATCATCAGCATCATCATCATCACCATCATCATCAGAATCATCATCATCATCATCAGCATCATCATCACCATCATCATCATCATCATCACCATCATCATCAGCAGCAGCAGCAGCATCCTCATCGTCGTCATCATCATCAGCATCATCATCGTCATCAACATCAGCATTATCATAATTAGCATCATCATTATCATTATCAACAACATCATCATCATCAGCAGCAGCAGCATCATCGGCACCATCATCATAATCAATCTCATCATTATCATCACCAGCCTGATCTTCATCCTCATCCTCATCCTCATCCTCATACTGATCCTCCCCTTCCTTCTCCTCCACATTCCCCCCTGTCCCTTCCACCCTTCGCTCGCCCATCCCCCTCCCCCGCCCTCCCCTCCCATCCCCCCTCCCCGCCTCCTTCCCCCTCTCCCCCATCCACCCTTTACACCTTCCCCCTCCCTCCCGTCCCCCCGTCTCTCCTTACCCCTCCTCCCCCGCCCGGCCTGGGCCGACTGTCTCGCAAGCGAAGCGCAGGTGTCCTCGCATTCCCTTCCGTCCAGCGGCTCCTTTGACTCCTGGCGTTGGTCGTCGCCCTCGCCGCCGCATCGCCGTCGCCGCTGCCGCCGCCGCTGTCGTCGTCGTCGTCGCCCTCGCCGACGTCGTCGTCGTCGACGTCGCCTCCTCGTCGTCACCGCCGTCGCCACCGCCGTCGCCTCCGTCGTCGTCGTCCCCGTCGTCGTCGTCGCTATCGTCGTCCCGCGCGCGCACGGGATTGCTCGCGAAGGGAAGAGGAAGGAGAGGGGGGAGCAGGATGGATGGGAGCAGGGGCGAGGATCAAGGAGGGAAGAGAAGGAGCGATGATGAGGAGGAGAAGAAGGAGAAGGAGGAGGAAGAGGATCGAAGAGGAAGAGGAGGAGGAGGAGGATCGATGAAGAGGAGGAGGCACAGCGTTCCCCCCGAAGCCTATCCTCCCCATAGCGGGCATCGACGAACGACCACTTGCGACCGCAGTATTCCCGCGTCCAGCCACGCTTTCTGGCGGCCGCTCAAAAGGAACCCGATGCACAGGCGGGCTGAAGAGAACGCTTGAGGAGCGCGAGAAAAGGGAAGGCTGAGCAGGGGCAGAAGCGAATGGACCCGCGAGAACCGCGCGGCGGTGCTGCCTCGATCTTCCTTCGTGCTTCGGCCTCCTTCGCCTCTGCTCTGCGTCGTCCTCCTCGTCCTCTGGCTCGCTGCGCCCCCTGCGCCTTCTGGCTTGCTGCGTCCTCTGCGCCACATGGCCCGTCCAGCGGCAGAAGGGTGCCCTGCGGCGCGCGACGCGAGACCTCAACGGAGGCACTCCTCCTGATAGAGGGCGGCCCTGAGACACAAAAACAAATACACACAAATAAAAAGATTCCCCATATCTTCCCATCTTTTCGGGGTTTTTGTCTTCCCCCCCACTTCCCATAATTTTCCCATATTCTCGGGGGAATCGACGATTGCTTGTGTCTGTGTGTCTTTTTCCCTCCTGACCGACAGGAGGGCGGCCCCGCGAGTGACAGCGCGCTGGACGAGTCGGGCGCTGGGCCCGCAGCAGGCTCCACGCCGAAGGCAGATCGCGCTGGAAGATGGATGCCTAGCTGAGAGGCGGCGCGCAGTGAGGCAGCACTGCCCGCATCGGCCGGCGCACGCCTCTCGACTTTCCCCGTTCGCTGGGGCGGCGGTGTGGCCGAGCAGCCGAACAGGGGTAGAGATGCACAGCATGGCGAACACAACAACATATGTGCGCCCGGCCCGTGTGTAAGAGAGCCGATCGGAGCCCGCGAGCGACTGGGGGAAACCAACGCCAGTGCCGGCAGGCGATCGCAAAGGTGGTTGTTTGAGCCAAGCATGACCAGGTGCAAAGTGCGCTTGGTGCACCAACCTGCGCGCGCACGCGTCGCACGGCGCACGGTTGCTCTCAGGCGCGGCGCGCCTCTGCTTCTGCGCACGCTCCGGCACACAGCGGAACATAACGATGCTCAGCGCGCGCTGCAAGACGCGCAGGTGCGCGCCGGCACAGCACCGCGCGCGCGCTGGCACCACCAGGCACAAACAATCCCGCAGCGCGCGTAGCACGACGCATGGGAGGGCCAAGGCATAGCAAACCCTGCATCCCTGGGCATTGACAATGCCCCACGAGCACTGCACGGCGCGCGGGTGCACAGAGGCGGCGCGCACCGCAAAACTAGCACCGCCGCGCACTGACCGCGCGCAGGCGTGCTCCACAGAAGCGAGTCCTGAGTGACAGGACGATTGCGACTGACGGGACCATCTCGGACACTTCTGTCCGAAACAGACGTGGCCGAGGGAGCGCAGGTTGCGGCGTGGCCGCGCGCCTAGACCTCATGGCACAGCGATCCGCGTAAATGTGGTCTTGCGGCCAAGGGCATGACGAACGCGTCGGCATGCCTGAAGCCACACGCTCCGCGCATCGCGCGTCCCAGCGCCAGGGCGCACAACATGCACAAGAGCATGGGGCAGCAGGTCATGTTGTCAAGTAAGTGGTGGCGCAGCTATGCCCCGATTGCCTGCCAATTGCACTCAACACTGCTGCCTTGTTGAGTGGGTCAGTGGGCCGCGTGCCTGTGGTAGCGCCGACAAGAATTCGTAGCCAAAGTCGCCCATAGCGCAGCACGCAGGCGGCCCACTTCCCTATTCCTCGGGGAAGAAAATGTGCAAGGCGTCCGGGCAATTCGCGGCAGGACAGGAGAAAATGTCATCGGCATGCCTGAACGCCTAATCCTGGAAGAGGGCCCGTGTAAACGGAAGTGAAGTCGCAGTCGAAGTCCGCCTGGAGGGAGAACCAAAAAGACGAACAATAAGAAGACGAAGGAGAAGAATAAACACACGGCAGCTCGCCATTGCCGAATCTGTCGACGTGGCGGATGAGACGACAAACCCAATGAGCACTGGGCTTGGCGTAGCCGTCGTAGTGACTGCAGCTGGACGTGGTGACTGCAGCACTCGCCGAATGCGTGTCTGGCCGGCTGCGGTCCAATGCCTGGATTCCAACACACATTGGCGACATCAGATTGTTGACGAGGTGCCCCCCATAGCACCAAGCTGGCGCGCCTCCTCCTCCTCAACGAGTCTCGATGGACACGAAGGCACGGTGGCCACGATGGCGCGCCTCCTCCTCCTCCTCCTCAGGCCTGCACAGGGACGGACGCCACATTGAAGCTTGGGAACCTGTAGTACTGCCGAGGCTCTTGGCTGAGGCAAAACGCTGTGGAACAAACGCATTAACTGAGTCGCTCGGCGCGCGCAGCGTGCTCACCAAGAGGAAGGCCAGCACTTCGGCACACAACCCGAAGCCAAGCACTGGCCCAGTCGCACGGTAGAGCGCAACAGACTGCGCCCCACTGCGAATGCCGGGAAGCTGTGGTTGTGGTGCGGGCGCCGGAGCATCTCTGCCTCCGTGGGCCGACTCAACCTTGCATCGGGCCATTTGTCTCCCAGGGGCACGTGCGATCGTCGGCGTTAACCTCGTCGCGCCTCTGGGTGCAGCAGGCGAATTTCCGAGGGGTGCAGAGCAGCCATAATCACAAGCTGTTCAGGGACTGGAGGGTGGATCCGATGAAGAGATGGGGGAAGTGCGAATGCGCGTCCATCCCGCACTCCTCAGCGCTACGCAGCCCGCGCATCGGGGTGAGAGGTGGCTTACACCAGCCCCGCCATCACCTGGAATTGTGGGGTTAACAATAGTGACAGACGTGGTGATCATGCCAGGACAACTCTCTGAGAGCTAAGAGGTTCCAGATTAGAAGCCGGCAGCGCAGGGCTGGGCCAGCCCCTCTCCAAGGCTCCCGGGCAGGCATCCCCGCAGCGACTCGATTGAACTTGCAGCGTGTCCCGAGAAGCGTTTTCCTACTCGTTCCAACTACGCGTGCCTGAAGCCTTGCCGCAGGTCCTTCGCAGCTCCCTCGAAGCTCCCTCAAAGCTCGCTTTTCGAAGCTTGCAAATGGACAGGAAACGAGCTCTTTCCGTAACCTCGTATACTGTCAGCAGACGCGTGCACGGTGTGAGTCACGCTGGCGGCGGCGGGCGCGCACGGGTCCTTCTTCGAGTGAAGAGGAGGAGGAGGAGGAGGAGGAGGAGGGAGGAGGAGGAGGAGGAGGAGGAAGAGGAGGAGGGGAGGAGGAGGAGGAGGAAGAGGAGGAGGAGGAGGAGGAGGGGAGGGGGGGAGGAGGAGGAGGAGGAGCAGGAGGAGGAGGAGGTGGAGGAGGAGGAGGAGGAGGAGAAGGAGGAGGAGGACGAGGAGGAGAAGGAGGAGGAAGAGGAGGAGGAGGAAGAGGAGAAGGGGGAGGAGGAGGAGGAGGAGGAGGAGGAGGAGGAGGAGGAGGAGGAGGAGGAGGAGGAGGAGGAGGAAGAGGAGGAGGAGGAGGAGGAGGAGGAGGAGGAGGAGGAGGAGTGAGAGACGGAGTGAGGGAAGGAGGGAGGGAGGATTGAGGGAGGGAGAAATCCCCCGATCCGGCGTGTGAGTTTCTGAGAGCGTGGATTTGAGCTCGCTCAAGCTTCGCTCTGTCGGGGGGGCGGGGGGGGGATGACGCATTCAGGCCCGGGAGAGAGGAGGGGGGGGGGGAGGGCTGACGCCATCAGGCCGGGAGGGAGGAGGGGGGGGGGGGGGCGGCTGACGCCATTCAGGCCCGGGGGGGAGGAGGGGGGGGGGGCTTCGCTCTGTCGGGGGGGGAAGGCAATGGGGAGGAGGGAGGAGAGGGGGGGGGGGGGGGAGGGGAACGCCATGGCTGACGCCATTCAGGCCCGGGAGGAGGAAGTCGGGGAGAGGGCGGGGGGAGCTGACGCCATGGCTGACGCCATTCAGGCCCGGGAGGGGGATCTGGGGGAGGGGAGGGGGGCTGACGCCATGGCTGACGCCATTCAGGCCCGGGAGGGAGGAGGGGGGAAGGGCGGAACACCATGGCTGACGCCATTCAGGCCCGGGAGGGGGATCTGGGGGGGGGGAGGGGGCGGGAACGCCAAGGCTGACGCCATTCAGGCTCGGGAGAGCAGAGGGGGGGGTAGGGCCGACGCCATGCCTGACGCCATTCACGCCCGGGACGGGGGAGTCGGGGGGGGCAGGGGCTGACGCCATGGCTGACGCCATGGCTGACGCCATTCAGGCCCGGAAGGTGGGAGGGGACATACCATGAGTTCGGCTGTTCACGCGGGATCGTCACTTTCGAATATCCGAAGGTTGCCCAAGCGAGTTCAACGTCTCTATCTTATGAGGATGCCTCGAGCGAGTGCTCTACTTTTCAACATAAAAGGTCATCCATTGAAAGCAGAATCGGTAGCACCCCCTGGATCGGCGGCACTGGCCAGAGGCCACTACAATATGTCGAGGAGGGGGAGGAAGGAAGAGAACACGGACGAGGGGGAGAAGGAAAGAGGTCCTGCCGCCCGATGCGCTGGGTCCTCATGGCCTTCATCGAGTTCGTCTTCCTCACTTCCTCGTCGGGGGGACGGCGGGGGGGGTGGCACTGGTCATCTGCCAACCCCGCTCCAAGCCAGGCCTGGATGGAGGAAGGGGGAGAGGAGGGGGAGAAGGAGGAGGAGGAGGAGGAGGAGGAGGAGGAGGAGGACAATCTAGGTGCGCTCGCGTTATATCTGACGTCCTACCCCTCCCTCCCATCCCTTACCATGGCGCTGACTTTCTCTATCCGCGGACGCGTGTCGTAGCGGACCTGTGGCTCCGCGCGCGCGTGCGTAGTGGGTGGTGGTGCACGTGCGTGCGTGCGTGCGTGTGTGCGTGGTTGTGGTGGTGGTGGTGTGGTGGCTGGTGTGGTGCTGGTGCTGGTGCTGGTGCTGGTGCTGGTGCTGGTGCTGGTGTGTTGGTGGTGGTGGTGGTGGTGGTGGTGGTGGTGGTGGTGGTGGTGGTGGTGGTGGTGGTGCGGCGCGGTGGTGGCGGGCGGATGGGCGCGCGAGAAAGAGGCCCGCGCTGGGGCGAGAACGCCATCCTGAACGACGGAGGCCAAACACCGATCCGAAAAGGAGGCCCACGCTGCAGCGGGAGCACGATTCGGAACGATTCGGGAGCAGAAAAGAAGCCGGCGCCTCAGCGAGAGCATCATTAAAAAAAACGCAGGCGAGAACCCGTTTCCCGGGAATCCTGTGTGTAACAAACAATACGCGGGGGAGCGTTCGGCCCGAAAATGACGCCGGCGCCTCAGCGAGAGTCGTTTCCCGGGATTTCCCGGGCATCCTGTGTGTAAAAAACAGTACGCGGAGAATGCGCGGCCATCACCCGGACGCCATCAGGGGAAGAGGGAGAGTATTTTCATATTGAGTAACTGTGGAGGAGGAGGAGGAGGAGGAGGAGGAGAGGAGGAGGAGGAGGAGCGAGGAGAGGAGGAGGAGGAGGAGGAGGAGGAGGAGGAGGAGGAGGAGGAGGAGGGGGAAAACAGGCGGAGGCGGAGGAGGGAGGGAGGAGGGCCATCGTGGCCCCCCGCGTGCCTGCCTGGGGGGGGAGGGGGGGGGGCCCTGGGAGGGGGCCACGGGGGCTGGCCCTGGCCCGCGAGTGCCCGCCGCCGCCGAGCCGAGGCGGCGGCGCGGGTGCCGCGGGTGCCAGAGGCTCGTCAGCAGCAGCGGCTGCAGTGCTCTCTTCCGCGCCTGCTCCTGACATGCGGCGGTGGCGCACAGCGGTGGCGCTTCCCTCTCCGCGTCTTGCCGCAGCAATCTGAGCCCGGGTCGAGAGGGGCGCCGACTGCCCGAGGCCCCAAGGGTCTCGCAGATGGCGCGGGGCAAAAGAGTGCTGCGCATCCAGCTTTCTGATTGAGATCTCTGCGACCCCTCATGCTTGCCATTTCCCTGACAGCCGCAACGAAGAGGATGACTCCAACCTCAAACACCGAATAACACGGCACCGCGGCTGCGCTGCAGCGTGAGATGGAAGGGCGACGTGCCGTCGCCGAGCCGCGTGCGGTACTCTCCGGATAAACCTCAAAAAGAAATATTATGACGGACATCTCAAAACGGGTTATGATGAGCCGGAGGGGTTGCAGGCACAAAGAGACACATCGGCCTGCGAACCAGCGCTCGTGGGAAGGATCGACGACCAGCTGACCTGCGGCACTACGGGGGGGGGCATTTTTTTTACCCTATCACCCTGGGGCTTTGTCATGCAACAACAAATTCGTAAGCCGACTTACGGCCCAGCAAACAGTGCTTGCGCGGACCCGCAGCCCGCCAGGACCAGACCCCGAAGCACGGCCACCGTGACTCCGCGCTCCGCCCGACCACTGGTCTGGGGTCCACGATCCTGGCCGCTCTGGCAGCCCTGCCACACTCGCGAGCTTCGGCAGCGCTGGCAAAGCCGAAAGAGCCAAGAGCTCCCTCAAGCCCTGGGCGGAACAGCCTCACAGGGGCAGGCGGGACGGGTGCCCGACCTCGCACCTCAAGGGGCTCCTCAGCGGGGGCTCGAGAGCTAACAGAGGCCCCACGGACTTCCCTGTCCTCCGCGCCCGCAAACTTGCCCAGCGCCTCGGCCCACCTGGCACGGGTGGCCGCAGAGGGCCGAGCCAACTGGTCAATCGGCTGCTTGAGTTTTGGCAGAAGTGATTTCGCGAAATCATTGCGCGCCTGCGCCCTGGAGCCCTTTTTGGCCCTGGGGTCACCAGCTCGCTGAGCCCCTCCACAGGCCTTGGCCAGGCCTCGGTGGCAGTACTGGGGCGTCAAGCAATACATCCAGCAAGTCACACAAACCAAAAACTCAGGGCCATCGCTGCCAGAAACGCGGGATTCCCTAAGGCGGTGGCCGCTGACTTCCCAGACCCCCGACCCGCCAGGGTCGGGAGAAACAAAAGAAGCCCCCGGGGGCCCCACCAGCCCAGCAGGGCCCGAGGGGGCACTCCGAGGCTGGTCGGCGGTCACCGCGGCAGGGGAGGCCCCAGCTGAGGGAGTGGGCGAGGGGTTCGACTCAGCCGACGCGGGCGGGCTCTGTGCGCCTGCGGCCGAGGTCGAAGCCCGCTGCGCCTTGCCTGCGCGGCTGCGCTGTACAGCACGAAACAAGGCCGCCGACGCGCTGGGCGCATCTGCGGCTGGCTCACTGGGCCTGTCTGGCCTGTCACCTGCATCCACCTGCATGTGGTCCTTCATGTCAGCTCCCTCATGGGCCTGGGCTCCCTGCCTGGCCGCTGCAGCCGCCGCCAGCGCCGCGCCCCCCGCGGCCTCCAGTCCTCCAGAACCGCGGGCTGCCGACCCTTCGTCCGCCAGCAGCTGCTCCAAGTCGGGTGACGGGGCGAAGGGGTCCAGGTCCACCAGGTCCAGCGAGGAGAGCGGCCAGGCGCCCCTGAGCCCCGACTCGGTGATGTGCACCTCCAGGTCCGCCGCGCACCTGGCCACCTCCTTCGCCCGAGCTAGGCAGCCCTCCAACATCATGGCGTCCTGCTCTGCAATGGCGTGGAAGGCAGCCCCTTCCTTTGCCCTGGTGTCGGCACGCCTGTTGCCCAAGAGCTCGAAGAGGGTGAGCTCCCAGTCACTCACCGCGGCTGCGGAGCGGTGGGCTGGCACGTGGCGCATGATTACGCCCTCCGCTGCGTCTCCAACCCTGGCCCACACGTGGGCGTGCAGGGAGCTGGGGCCGCAGGCCTTGACCAGGTTGGACGCCGCCTTCACCGTGCTCAAGCAGTCGCTGAGCAGCGTGTAGTTCCCGATGGTGTCGGCGAGGCCAATGGCGGCGGCGTAGTCCCCCCCTGCCTCTGCCGTCTGCGACGGGAGGACGCTGGGGGGCACTGCTCCCCATGCCTCGGCGATCAGCCTCCCATCGGGCCCGTGCACGATGGCGGCCCACCCCGCGCTCCTGACGTGCGGGAAGTCCCCATTCAGGCACGAGCCGTCAGTGAACACGAAGGACCCGTCTGGCACCACCAAGATGCCGCCCCCCCAGCCGCAGGATCTCCACGCCCAGCTGTCGTTCCAAACTGGCCTGACCACGAGGAGGCTGATGTCCGCGAAGAGCCCCTGGCTGAAGAGCTCGTCGAAGGGGGTCCCCACGCGGTGGACCTGCTCCGCTGCCTTCCTCACCTGGAACGGGCAGTAGTCCCTCCTCCAATGCGCCCATGCTGGGCACTCGTGGTGCCTATGGTGCATCGTCCCAGGGGCGGCGCCGCAGAGTCTGCACAGAGGGTTGATCTCACGCCCATGCCTTGCCAGACGGGCCTGGGGCCAGCTGGCCAAGGAAGCTAGGCGTCTCAGACAACCTTTGTGGTGAGCCGTCCAAGTTGCCGATTCCTTGGCGCCTAGGAGCTGGTTGATTGGCGTCCACCACGGCGGCAGTCGCCACTGCCAGAAGGTCTCGGGCCTGCTGGTGTACTCTTCCAGCGACGCCGCCTGGCGCGTGTCCTCCTTGACCTTGGCGGCGAGGAAGGCGGGCGAGAACCTCGAGACCTCGAACTCCCTGCCCGTCCTGTCGGTCAGGATCCGCCCGCCAGCGCTGAGTCCCCAGCCGACCCTCCCCAGCGTGAGCACCAGCGCCGAGACGGGGTCGCGCACCGCTGCCCAAGGCCCCTGCAGCGAGGCCAGACGCCTGCTGTCCCTGAGGCAGGCCTGCACAGCGGCAGGGGAGGCCTGACCCGACCAGCACATATACACGAAAGCCTGGACTGCCAGGCCCGTCGCAATCACCAGCGGGCCCTGTCTCCAGCCCTGGGGGGCGCACTGCAGGCAGAAGGTCAGCGCACCCCCGCCGGCATGTTGCAGGCGGCTTTCGCCGCTGAGACCCTGAGCGCCCTCATGCGCCCTGGCGGGGTCCCGTTGATGGTCGAGCCCCACAGTGCCTTTGCGGTGGGGCCTGCCCTCTGGATCTTGGCCTGCCTCATTCCTGCGCCGAAGATCCTGGTGAGGTTGTTGCCCTGCCTCAATGCCGCCAACTCCCTGGACACCTGCGTCTCGACCCTGCGGTGGCCGCCAGCCGTCGCATCCCCTCCAGGGTCGCGGTGTCCCGAGACGAAGGCTTCGTCGGCTAGGACCCAGTCCGCGTGCTTCTGCAACTCTCTCCTCAGACTCACCGAGGAGGCCAGTGCCTTGGTCTTTTTCCAGTTGATGGGGAGCCTCTTGTCGCCCAGCATGGTGGCCACTCCCTTAGTGAACCTGGCGATCTGCTCGACGACCAGCCTGCGTGTGCCGACGCCGTGGCCCGAGATGTCGTCGATGACATTGACCACCCTTCCGATCGGCAGCAGCTTCCTCGACTTGAGCAGGAGGTCGTACAGCATAATCCTCGCCATCGTCGTGGCGCAGGAGCATCCCGCGATGACGGTGTCGTCGATGTCCAGCTGCTCGCTGAGGGCCAGGTCGGCCCTGGCCCTGCGGGGGCCTGAGTACAGCACGCAAAGCGCCTGGATCAGCCCCGCGTTGAAGCCGCAGCCCCTCGCCGCGTCGAGGAGCAGCCCATGGTTGATCTGTTCATAGAACTTGCTGGTGTCGAAGTAGACGGACGCAGCCTCGAAGTTCT